AGTAAAAATGAATACTGCCCAGTGATGACGAATACTGCCCAGTGATGATGAATACTGCCCAATGATGATGATACCAACAAGAAAACATTTCAATGACTGGCCATTTTGAAACAAGTCTACCAAAAAAATTCTCCACACATATTAACTGACAATGATTGATGGAAACACAGAAACATGTAATTGCTGGTAACTAAAGGTTTTCAACGTTCTATACAAAATAAAATATTTTTTGGTAATTCTAAGGAAAGTGCTTTATATATTTTCTTAAAATACATTCATGCTTACCTTGGATTGGTAACAATAAATTGTTATAGAATAGGAGTGAATAATGATCCCCACAGAGCGCTATTTTAAATTTAACACAAGCCATGCATAGCACAGTACCCGTTAGTTATCGAATTTAAGATATATAGTTTTGTTTATAGTAATATAACTGGAACATAAACATGTCAGGAATATTATTATGATGATTGTTTAACATAAAAATGATTGACATTTGTATCTGATCGTCAAACGAGTATTGAGAGATATTGCTCTGGAACAGCATTAATTAAAACAAAATCAGCCATGTTGAATACATGTATAATGAATATATAAAATTTGAACATAATCAGTCAAAGCATGTCAGAGATATGGCACTAGAGCTGCATTCATTAATACAAATGGCCACCAGTCGGCCATTTCAAAAATAAAATGACGTGCATCAGGAACCTATAATGTCTAATGTATGTACCAAGTTTGAACAAAATCCATCCATAAATGCCAGAAATGCTTGATATCTGATGATTTTTTAGCACAAAAATGACCACATTCGGCAATTTTGAATAGGATCGTCAAACCAATATATCTGTATATCTATGACATGATTTATAATGAATATTTAAAATTTTAACATAATCAGTCTAAGCAAGTCAGAGATATGGCACTAGAACCACATTCATTAAAACAAAATGGCTGCCAGTCGGCCATTTTGAATCTTACATGTATCTGAAAAACAAAATGATGTGCATCAAGGTCCTATAATGTCCAACGTCTATACAAGGTTTGAACAAAATGCATCTGTAAACAGCCGGGAAATGCTTGATTTTGATGATTTGTTAGCACAAAAATGGCCACCATTCAGCCATTCATATTGAAATTATGGGACGCGGATTAACAGTGTTAATACTTTACACCGCCCACCGAAGCTAGCATTGTAATGTGTTAACTCATGCGTACAGCTGATTCTACTTTCTGTAGAAGTATCGCTAAAATGAAGTCAGAAAGATCACAGCCTGAAGTTAGCACTCTGCTGCCATTAGTCTATTATTTTGTTTGTAGGTGAGTGTAGCACTGTAATAGTGTTAACGCCTGCATATAAAAGATTACACCTCGAAGTGACTAGAAAAAAGGGTATGATGGAAAACAGTATAAGTAAAATCTTTATTGGCAAACATACTTATATTAATAAAGCTTTACAGAGT